TTGAGAATAATCTCTTACGGAGGGAATTCGAAAGGGAATACATAAAATTTTCCACATTTTTTTTTTTTGGTATTCCTAAGATAATAATTGTTTGGATTAATGTATAGGTGCGTTAGCTTAGGTTTAACTATGATAAAAAAAATCTAGTTATTAAACAATAAAATCTAATAGTAATGTTCGAAAAGTGAATGTTTGATTCACGTTAGTATAATTTTTGGAATCATAATTTCCAAATATGCTATGTCATATTTTGAGATTTATTAGGTGTTATACATTTATTTAAAAAAAACACGAATATATCGCGTAACATACACACAGAAAACATACAAACAATAGTGCACCTCCCTTTTCGAAGTCAGTATAAAAATATAGAAGCAAATACAGCGCTATTTAAAGACAATAGACGGGAAACGGCTTATTAGAATGGTGATAGAGAAATTTACCCAAAACTTTATTAAATTTACAAATCATAGAAGATTAAAGGTTTATGCCAAACAATTAAAACTGTCGCTTCCAAAGATTACTGGGGTTTAGTTATACGAGTTTGAATAGTTTAAGTAAAATCATTAAATCCTGCAACCTTTAATAATATTACATTTAAAATTGATAAACGATGTTCGTATACTGTTTTTCATTACTGTTTTGTTTATTATATTATTTTTCTGTAATGAATTGTTATATTAAAATATAGTTGCTTATCATGTCTGATTTGTTGTTCTGATAGATAAATTCGGATAAGTTGAATAAAATAAGAATTTTAGTTAGAAGAAAAATGAAAAAAAAAAATTGTGAAAAAGTGGTTAGAGGGGCGTATTTAAAAAAATGATGTGGCTGTTAAGTAAATTAAGACATTAAAATGGTGTTTGGTAAACATAAAAATTATAGATAGGTACATGTAGCTTTCACTACCATAATCCATAAACCAAGTTTTCAAAAAAAAATTAATGTAAAATATTTAAGGATCTCGATATAATTTTACTTAAGTAATATATTTTTTAAACTCTTTATAATTTCGTAATATAACACCTCGTCTTATCGCCTCTACTGATGGCAGAACTGGTTCGTATTTCACCGAAAGAATTGGCATTGCTATTAAGCGTGGAAATGCGGCTAGCATTCTTGCCACAATTCCACACGGACATGACTTTTACAGTAATAATTAAGTGTACATTTTATTTTGTATTTTCTTATATTGTTATTACAGATTGTTTTTTAAGGAAAAAATATATCATAAAACTCACTCACTCACTCACTGAAATCTCACTTTATGAAAAAAGAAATATGGGTAACAACGTTCGTGAATTTGTAGTTGCTTTAGTAATTAACTCAAACTACAAGAGATTGTAAAAGTGTAATATATAAAGGGTGCAAGGAGAAATACGATAACGGTGTAATTTGCCAAGCTTTACTAAGCTTAGCTTCTAAGTTTCCTTTTAAAACTAGTGAACTTAAATTATTTGAAGGAAATAATGTCGACAACTCATGTTATTGTGACACATTACACATACATATATGTATATATATACATACAAACAAACAAAATTATTTATTATAGTACTAATCTGTACCCTGTACATGGAGTGTATAGACTATTTTTTATTCTGAACCATCGTGGGAACCTATTTTCAAATATTGTAGCTTTCTGTACCGCAAAATTTACAAATATCTATTCTTACTTTTGGAATATCCATCTAATCTATCTGTGGTCGGATTAAATATCACAGTTATACTCGTATTTAACGAAAGCAACAAGAATCATGACGTTACCTATGTCAATTTCAATTCTCAAGATTACTTATTGATTATTACTGAGATAGATTCATGGGTATGTGGTATTAGTCCTATATTATAATATCAGCTTCGATGATGTATTGGCTAGCATGTACGGATATGGATCCGGAGGTCCTGGGTTCGAGTCCTGGGTCAGTCCAAGTTTAATTATCGAGTCTTTTTGTTAAGATAGTTTCAGTAACAATCTAGAGTTGGCAAGTTGGTGGTTGGTTCATCCCCGTGCCTGCCGTCGCGTCGGTCCTGCGTCTGATCTCTTACTGGTCGTGTCGAATTGTCGTCACACCGGAGTTTGAAAGTGACAGATAGAGAGTGCCTTTGTGTCTGCGTGTACACTTGTGCAGTATAATATCACGCAAGTGATAGATGAAAAAGTGTCTCAGTAAGATTGGCCATCATGACCGAAATCGGAATCGGAGGAACTCATGTTATAAATATCACAGATTAAGTTTTGTTACGGTGAGGATTTAGTTTTTATTTTTGATGTGACTGATAGACTATGGCCTGATCTCCTTGTTATTTGCAGGAGAAGCCCACTGCCTCCTGCAAATACGAACAACCCCCATCAAAGTAAATAAGATCTGAGTAAATAATGTTATTCTATTATTTGACAAAGTAAATTGTTAAATCCACAAATGTAGTAGGCAGTATTCATGACTTCACTTCGATCGTTTAATGAATGTTACTGCGAATAATATTTAAAAAGCACGTATATTTCGATATGATTTACCAAAGTGCATTATCTATACGATTCGAAGACACGTTTAGATCAGTTTGTAACGACTCTACTTGCTGTGCCAGTGGTGGCGGGTTTGAGTCCCGCTGGCGGCATTCATTTGTGTGATGACAATTGACACGAATGTTTGTACTCCAATCATAGGTGTTTATATTTCTAATTTGTATGTATTTAAAGTTATATAATATGTGTAGTGTATCAAATATTTGGTATCCATAACACAAGCCTCGTACCTTACCATGGAACTAGATGGTGCTGTGTGTTAATGTCCCAACATATTTATATTTATTATATTATTATATTTATTTATAGATAGGCACTAGGCATATAGGTATAAAAACTTGTCTCAGGAACCTTGTAATGTATTATATTTTAGCCCTTTTTAAAGTCCCACTGCGGGGCACGGGCCTCCCTTCAATACGAGGGAGATCAAGCCACAGACCACCACGCTGGCCAAGTGCGGGTTGCTTTAAATAACTTTAAATAAACAAGTGTCTTTTTAATTACGTTAGATCCGTCAATATCTAACAAAAATCTATACATATAATAAAATTGTAACTAAGTCGAATCTGTATATTAGATATTTTTTGGAAAATCTTATTGAAATAGACATTATTATCAATACAGAGGCCGAATCTACAGTTTTTAGAATTTTCGTCTGTCTGTCTGTCTGTTACCGCATCACAGAAAAATCACTGGAGGGATTTTGATGAAATTTGGTATGTCGATAGCTGCTTATCCGGGTCAGCATATAAGATACTTTTGTCCACGGCGAAAGGTCTCATTTCTGAGAAAAAATACAATAGCTGCATTGTAAGAGTATACTAATATGTAAAACCTAACATTTGGTTTTTGGTCATCTGAACGCGGGCGGAGCTGCGGGCAATGCTAGTAAATAATAAAATGTGAAAGGATTACAGTCTATATTTAAGTAAATTTTAATTTAATTAATTAAAGAATACGGGTAACTATACGTAACTACCTACTTTTAAGGATTAATTTTTAAGTAAGTGGTTGTAAAACAATGAAACACTTTTTCTGAATTAATGGCTATATTGTTAATAATTAATCATATTTTATGCATAGGTACAAGAGAAAATTATACGTCCCGCTCCAAACGTCAAAAATAAAATATGTCGTCATACTTTTCCTGCCTGCCTGGTACCGGCGTAGACGAACACCGTACAGGTGGCAAAGGCAAAGGCGCACGATGCCTTCGACTAAACTAGCGGCGCGTAACATTATATTATGTACTAGCATTGCCCGCGGCTCCGCCTGCGTTCAGATGACCAAAAATCAAATTCTTAAATTTTACATATTAGTATACTCTTATATTGCAGTTTTTGATTTTTTCTCAGAAATGAGACATTGTCCCACGGTAAAAATATCCTATATGTTGACCCATCCTATCCACCTATCCTATATGATATCCTGTATGATATGATCCTATATGATAACCAGCTATTACCATACTGAATTTCATCAAAATACCTCCAGTGGTTTTTCCGTGATACGGTAACAGACAGACAGACAGACAGGCAGACAGACAAATATTCTAAAAACTATAGATTCGGCTTCTATATCGATAATAATATCTATTTCGATAAAATTTTCAAAAAATATTTAATATACAGATTCGGCTTAGTTACAATTTTATTATACGAGTATGTATAGATATGCTAGGACACTATACCCAAATACAAAATTTAGTGCAGATAAAAGGTAAAGCATTGTGAGAGTTGCATAAAATGGTAATAGAGCTAGAAGCAACGATAAACTAAATGGAAAATATAGGACAATAATTAAATTTACTTTAGAAACAATCTGAAAACGGAGAAATTACTTTGTTTACTTTAATTATAGAATTTATTAGCAACTTCATGTTAAAATATTTAAGTTCTTGGAAACACGATCAGGGAAAACAGATTTTAAACATCGAAATCATACAAAAAGTGTGGCGGAATTCGGAGCATTTATTCATTTGCTTAATATTGTGTTCATACTGTACGTAAGTTTCTACAAATTAATCATAAAACAGCTGTTAGCTGTACAGAATTAAATTTCGTGGAAAGACAGGTTAAATACCTAACATTAAATAAAATTATATATGAATACATAATAATAATATGTAATTTTTAAAACGAAACTTGATATCCTTCATTTTTTGGCGAAATACGAAGAAGACATTTAAGAACTATAACATTTTATTATATATCATTTTATTATATTTTTGATATAACATTAATTTTAATAATTAATTTAATATAACATTAATTTTAATTATTAATAATTGAGGAAATAAAATTATAATACTGAAGCAATTTTATGCTACTTGTTTATAAAAAATGTTCTTTACAAATTCTAGCTATTACATTTATATTTTATTTATACAGTTATTTTTGTTATATACAAAAGAATAATTTTAGTACATGATTTTTTAATTTATTCTAGCATTCAAAGTAAAATATTTAATTTATTTCTTGTTAACAGGTGTATCTATAGTACTTTCAGGTGAACAATTAACGGGCTTCGTTGGTTTTATCTTCGCTGAAATAAAATATTACAGTTGACATTATCATGTAGAGCTAAAATCTGTTTTAATCTATTTATTTGTATGTTCCTTAGAAATATTGAACCGATTCAAGAAATATTCTACTAATAGAAAGCTTCACTATTTACTTTTGTAAACAATAGAATTTTTTTTACACAAATACAATAACATAAAACTGTTAAATAAAGCTTTGTTTAGGGGAATAATATAAAAAAGGAGATCTTTCACATAATATTAAATATTAAAAGAATAAACCTTACATATGCTTTAATATTTTAAATATTAACTTGGTGTTTTGTTGAATTACTTACGTGGACATTTCTCAATAGGTATGCAAATATTTCGATTATTACGTGCGTATCCTGCTTCACAGTAACACTTTTCGTTGCATTTGACGTTGATGATTGGACAACTTGTTTGGTTCTTACTCAGGTCTGAGCACTCATTGTCACAGGCAGATCCACAAGAGAAATATTCGTTTGGACCAGTACATTTAACTGTTCGAATAGGTAACATGTTAATATTAATTTTATTTTCTTAATTCGTAAGGAAAATCAACAACACAACACAAGTAACAAAATATTAAAAGAAAATTACAGTACAAGGTATGCTGCTTTATTTCATTCCAAGATATTTCTTATTTTTTTGAAAATCGATAAAAAACTCAAAGACTTCATGTATTTTTTTAAAAAGCCATCTAGCAGATGAAACATATCTATTATTACAAGTAAAACGGGAACTGTGAAATTGATGCCACACAAACATACAAATATGTACACACTCGCACAATAAAACAGTGGTTTTTTACAATTAAGACGAGGTCATATAGTATAGAAAATCAATACTTACGACAATCCGTTTTAGATATGCATTGTCCAATTTTATTTCTATAAAAACCTTTCTTGCAACGGCATGTGGGCTTACATACAGCAGGTTCCAGAGGACAGTTGTAGGTTTTACCAATAGACTCGCAAGTTTGCGGAGAGCAACTATCACACCCAGGAACTTCATTTTGACCATTACATATTACTATGGAGAAGTTACATTGTTTAATTGTTTATTTAGCAATTGTTTCGGTTACAAATTAAATTAAAAATAAAAAAAAACCCCGAGATATAAGTCGCCATTTTGTGGCGGCGGCCACCTTGGGTCCGAAATTTATCGTAGTGTATAGTATTCTACTAATCATGAACTTTCTTTTGATACCCATATTGAGGGAGTTGTGAAAAAATATGTAATCCGCCATCTCACACTAATTTTCATCAAACATAGCTAAGAACACTCCAGAATAATTCACCTTTTAAACAAATAAAAAAACAAAATCAAAATCGGTTCATTAGTTCGGGAGCTACGATACCACACACAGACACACATGCAGACACGTCAAACTTATATAATATAATTATATAATACCTCGTTGTTTTTGCATCAGGGGTTAAAAATAAAGAAATATTCCGCCATGTTTGTAAATAATACGAACATTCATTAGTGAAAAGGACTGTAAAGGTTTGACTAAATTACAAATGTCACCCGCACCATGCTACAATGAAAAATATAATACAGAATAATGCGATACTAACAATTTATGTTTGTATAAATATAACTGTTACGTAATTGAATAAATGAAATGTAAATAATATATTGAATTTGGCCACGTATAAATAATAAAAAAGCTAAAAATAATATTCTCATTTTAAAATACACACTCTCTGTTCTATGACCTCCTAAGAAAGCGGTTTACAATTATTGTAATGCAAGAAAATGTAAGTATAGTTTTGTATTAAGTAAATTACTTACGAGGACATTGATCGGCAGGTATACAGGTTCCATTATTTGCTCTTAAATGAGTGTTTTTACAATGACATCCTTCTCTACAAGCGCCTTCAATCAGATTTTTACAGATAATATCTGTTTGGGAACAATTCCATCTGCCACAACCACCATTTACACAGCTTGAGAACACTTCATCAGGGCCACAAGTAACTTTCGGTGCTGTAAAATTAAATATTCGAATACCTTGTAAAATTCTAGATATAATAATATCACGTAGTTAAAAATACTTATTATATAAAATAAAACATACGGCATTTATTTTTTGGAATGCAATCTCCCGAATTATTTCTATAATAACCATCGATACAGCGGCATCCAGGTTTACATTCTGGATCACCAATTTTTGGATTAGGAGCACACAATATCAACGCTGGGTCAACTCCACATTTCTGAGGTGGACATTGGGGTGGACAAATATCAAATACTTCATTTTTCTTACATTTTTGAGCTGTAATTCAACAAGTAATTGTTTATGTAATTTTTTAAGCTATTGCATAGCTTCTATCGCGGGCCTTGAGCGTGGGGACCAAATCCAGAAATTCCGTAACGAAAAAAACCTGACACCCCCCACTCCGACCGGCACAGCGGTGACACTTTTTAGTTTTTCCATCTATCGATAAATACCAGAACTTTTAATGACTTTTTGAAATATCACGCTTGTCTCTTTAGTTCAGCAACCCGCCTTTAGGTGGCATTGGTTGTATTGGAAAACTACCGTAATCTGCTGTTTGTGAGAAAGTATATAGGTGTATAGGTATTTATCATCTATGTACAACAGTGCATATCTGTACTCGTATAATTTGTGTACAAAGTGTTTTAAATATGAACAAACAAAGTGCATTTATTAATGAAGAAAGTCAAGTAAAAAAAAATAATGCATTAATAAAATAAATAAATAATTATAATTGCATAAGTTGATAAAAAATGCTATGTAATAGCTTTATTTAATCTTAAATTTGCTATTTTAAATCATATTTGACGACACTTTTGGCTCAGTTTGGAGGGTGCCTACTTGCTGTGCCAGCGGTCATGGGTTAGAGTCCCACTAGGGCAATTCATTTGTGTGATGAGCACGAATGCTTGTACTATATATTATATTTATAATATGTATGTATTTACAAAAGTTATATATTATGTGTAGTGTATCAACTATCTGGTATCCATAACACAAGCCTCGTAGCTTACCATGGAATTAGATGGTGCTATGTGTTAATATAACATTAATTTTAATCATTAATTTATTATAAGATTAATTTTAATTATTAATAATTGAGGAAATAAAATCATCATATTAAAATAATTTGATGTTACTTGTTTATACAAAATGTTCTTTACAAATTCTAGCTATTACATTTATATTTTATACAGTTATTTTTGTTTTAGATAAAAGAATAATTTTAGTACATATTTTTTTATTTATTATAGCATTCAAAGTAAAATATTTAATTTATTTCTTGTTAACAGGTGTATCTATAGTACTTTCAGGTGAACAATTAACGGGCTTCGTTGGTTTTATCTTCGCTGAAATAAAATATTACAGTTGACATTATCATGTAGAGCTAAAATCTGATTTAATCTATTTATTTGTATATTCCTTAGAAATATTGAACCGATTCAAGAAATATTCTACTAATAGAACGAATCACTATTTACTTTTGTAAACAATAGAATTTTCTTTTATACAAATACAATAAAATAAAACTGTTAAATAAAGCTTTGTTTAGGGGAATAATATAAAAAAGGAGATCTTTCACATAATATTAAAAGACTAAACCTTACATATGCTTTAATATTTTAAATATTAACTTGGTGTTTTATTGAATTACTTACGTGGACATTTCTCAATAGGTATGCAAATATTTCGATTATTACGTGCGTATCCTGCTTCACAGTAACACTTTTCGTTGCATTTGACGTTGATGATTGGACAACTTGTTTGGTTCTTACTTAGGTCTGAGCACTCATTGTCACAGGCAGATCCACAAGAGAAATATTCGTTTGGACCAGTACATTTAACTGTTCAAATAGATAACATGTTAATATTAATTCGTAAGGAAACTCAACAACACAACACAAGTAACAAATATTTATCGAGAATTACAGTACAAGGTATGCTGCTTTATTTCATTCCAAGATATTTATTTCTTACTTTATTGAAAGTGGATAAAAAACTAAGAGACGATGATATATATAAGAGAGATGTTTTTTTAAAAAAGCCATCTAGCAGATCAAGTATATCTATTATTTCAAGTAAAACGGGAACTGTGAAATTGATGCCACACAAACATACAAATATGTACACACTCGCACAATAAAACAGTGGTTTTTTACAATTAAGACCAGGTCATATAGTATAGAAAATCAATACTTACGACAATCCGTTTTAGATATGCATTGTCCAATTTTATTTCTATAAAAACCTTTCTTGCAACGGCATGTGGGCTTACATACAGCAGGTTCCAGAGGACAGTTGTAGGTTTTACCAATAGACTCGCAAGTTTGCGGAGAGCAACTATCACACCCAGGAACTTCATTTTGACCATTACATATTACTATGGAGAAGTTACATTGTTTAATTGTTTATTTAGCAATTGTTTCGGTTACAAATTAAATTAAAAATAAAAACCCCCCGAGATGTAATTCGCCATTTTGTGTCTGCAGCTACCTTGGATTTGAATTTTATCGTAGTGTATAGTATTCTACTAATCATGAACTTTCTTTTGATACCCATATTAAGGGAGTTGTGAAAAAATATGTAATACGCCATTTTGTGGCGGCGGCCATCTTACACTGATTTTCATCAAACATAGCTAAGAACACTCCCGAATAATTTACCTTTCAAACAAATAAAAAAATCATAATCAAAATCGGTTCATTAGTTCTGGAGCTACGATACCACACACAGACACACAATTGCAGACACGTCAAACTTATAATACCTCGTTGTTTTTGCATCAGGGCTTAAAAATACTCTTTGCAATAATTGTTAAACTTAAAACGTTTAGAAAATCCAGAAAAAGTGCATAGGAGCTTGTACTAGGAAAATCTGCATTAGGTACTCGTACGAGCACAACAATCTTCCTCCAGACTTACAATATAAAGACTTACAATATAAAGACCTATAGTTAGACCTATATACAGCTGATAAAGTTAGTCACAAGATATTATTATGAAATAAAGTTCCCCCGCCGCGTCTGTTATCTGTATGTCTGTTTGAACTCGATAAATTCAAAAAATATTACACGAATTTTCATATGGTTTTCATTAAGTGACAGAATGATTCATGAGGAAGATTTGGTGTATATGTTACGCTGGGGGAATTCATTTGTGTGATGAGCACGAATGTTTGTACTCCAGTCATGGGTGCTTATATTTATAATATGTATGTATTTACAAACGTTATATATGTGTAGTGTATCAACTATCTGGTATCCATAACACAAGCCTCGTAGCTTAACATGGAACTAGATGGTGCTATATGTTAATGTTCCAACATATTTATTTATTTTTATTTAATTAAAATAAACTTACGGCATTCGTTTTTTGGAACACACACGTTTTTATCGTTTTTATAGTAATTATCGATGCATCGACAACCTGGTTTACAATCTGGATCGCCTGGTTTTGGTGGTGCCTTGCATTTTATAACACTTTCATCAACATCACATCTCTTAGGTGGGCATGGTGCTGGACAAATATCATAAATTTCGTTCTTTTTACACGTTGCTAAAATATCAAAGATAAAATGTAGCTCGGTAATGTTATAAAAATATCTCTTCATATAAACACATAATGCAAATCTACTAAACTTAGTTTACCAGAAAAATTCTCAAGGATAGTGCATATTCATGAATAACATATTGACAACAGAAGGGAGTCTTACGTTGTTTTATTCTGAATCTGTCGTCTTTATTTTCACTGGAATCATCACCTTCTTCAGTCTCTGAACTAGAATAACTAGAAGCGTGCGCAGATGCAGATGCATGACTAGAAGATTTGGATGAATGAGCAGTAGCAGCTGCGAAAGCCGATGAAGATGATATTGTATTTTCTGGAAAAACAATAAATTCGATAATAGTTGTTGTAATTCTATAAATAAATATCTACGTTGTGTCTTATTTAAGATTAGAAAATAAAATCATAATCAAACCTGCAGATAAAGTGAAAGCTAATATAATACAATTTAAGACAAGCGATCTCGCCATCATTATTAACATGATGATAATGTTATAAATTAACAAAATATATATTTTTAAACATATTTAGTATAATAGCAACACTTTTTTAAACATATGATGTGTAAGTTGAATGATAATGGGCATGTGTATCTTTTGTTCTCAGACTAGTAATTTAAAAATTCGTTTTGCTACTGTAAGTCATTGATCAAGAATAAGTGGAATGCGCGCTCTGAGTGTTCCTTATAATTTTATGCTGCTATTTATTACCAGTAAGGTTCCTTCTCGTGAGTGAAATTATTTTTTAATAATATTTATTAGAACACAAAAGTAAAAAATTAACTATTTAAACGTATAATGAAATTAAAAACCTTTCAACACAACAGTAGTGAAATCGAAAAAATGCTCGTATATTCCACGACTATTTGAAAATTCATCTTTCAAACATGACGCATCTACAAAATATACATACTCGTACGACAAAGACATAGGTATCGCTAAAATTCTATATGTTCTTTAAATAACGATTACTAAAAATACTGTAAAAATAACAATTGTTTGAAGCATAATGGAAATCGTAAGTAAATAATGAGAAATTATTATCAATAAATTTATAATAGATGACTTATAAGGTAAACTTAATAAATATATGATTAAAGTTAAGAATACTTTAAAGTTGGAAGTTGGTTAGGAGGACATTTTTATTAGATTAAAAATATTAACTTGTTCACCTATTCTTTTATTATAACAATGTTTCTACTACTACTATTTGTTAGAATATCCGCCATATAAAAATGGTTTAATAATTTAACCACCATCTATGAATTTCAAATCTCTCTTTCAAATCAGCTCTTTATAGTTTAGCTCTTTTTGTTAGACGGACGGACAGACGACAGAAGCTTAATAATAGGTTTCGAATATAACTAGCTTAGATTCGGAAATCTAGTTTAGGGATCTTCTACAAACGACAATGCAATCACATCATTCTCAGAATTTTACTTACTTGGACACTGGTCTTTCTTAATGCACGTTCCATCTTTGGCTCTTAAGTAATTTTCAATACAAATACATCCTGTAATACAATCCTTTGGATCTAATCTAACACATTTGATAGGTTTTCCGATATCTGTGCAGTTTCTATATTAACATACGCTGTTAACACAGCTTGTTTCTCGTTCATTTTCGTTACATCCTGTAATAATAAAGAAAATAATAAAAAAATGCTTTTGAACAACTGTAAGGGAATCTTCAAAATGAATGAAAGCAGCCCAATCATGATGGTTTTCCTGCTAGCCATTATTGAGTTTCACTATCCACCTCCTGACCCCGTCTTCAGATCATTCAATCAATGGTATCAAATATTTGTTTTGTTATCTGTTTTCATATACTTACAAAATTTTAAAGTCATGAGACAGTTAGAAGTAGATTGAAACCGACTTTGAAGAGTTACTGGAACTTGGCTACATACATATACTATTTTATCCTTATACTATTGTAGAAGCTGCTAACTAAAACTAGTAAACTGTAAATACAAATAAAGAAAAAAAATATGTAAAACCCAAAAATACACATTTTTATCAGAATTTTTGACAAAAAATCTTATTGAATATTTATGTATGATGATATAATCTTTTAACACTCAGTAAACAGATAAAGAAATTAAAAACAATTACCTAAGGCTAAAACAATTTTGGTAAAAACAATAGCTAAATTTATTATTAAATATGATTTAAACATATTCGTTAATGCTCAGTTATTTGCGATTTAGTAATAATCTGACCGTTCACATTTATTTTTATAGCTGTTTCGTGTCCAAAGTTTTTATATGGACGTTCATTAAATACCATTCGTTGCGATTTTATAAGGAAATATATTATATTTATTCGTCAGCTATTACTTATTCTTAAGTTTTGAACACAAATAAAATATTATTTATTTATTTACAAGAAAAATGGATACAAATGGATCGAAATATTATATTACTAGCGATTCACCTTCGCTTCGCTCGTGGATTCCCCATACAAACTTTTATCCCCATTTTCACTCCTTTAAGGGATGATTTTCGGGATAAAACTATCTTATTAGCAAATTTCATCTAAATCGGTTCAGTAGATCCAGAGATTACCCCTTACAACCTCACAAACTCACAAACTTTACCTCTTTATAATATTAGTATATATAGATATACAATGATTCCATAATACCTTATCTTGTTATTGGGCATTAAAATTACTAGTTTTATTCCGCGGCTCTGCCTAGTTTATTTATGAACAATTCTTCTTTAGAATTCTACTAAAGAACTAAAATGAATGTATGATTTTTAGTATAGTGACTTTATAGTTATTAATATAATTTCATTTAGCGTATATTTTACTAGAATCTTTGTTAAGCTTATATTCGTTGATAAATTCTGGAATTTGAAATAAATATTTCTAAATAACAATTTTAGAATTATTTGTGTATAATTTGTATGAGTCAATAAAATGAATAAATTATTTTATTATGATACAGAGTATTAGACCTTCATGATATCACGTTTAACTATATATGTAGTAGAACTGGTATTTTTTTAGCAAAATTAGAAGTTTCCTTAATAGTATTATTGTCTATGGTCCTAAGTTAGGTCATTTTTCATACATATGCTACCAGATATAAAGAAACGATTTGACCAATGAAATATGCTCGGGGAGTCCTTTAAGAAAAATTAACATTACTATAATGTTGTTTTATATATTACATACTAGCATTGCCCGCGGCTTCGTCCGCGTTGAGATGGCCAAATACCAAATTCTAAAGTTTTACATATTAGTATACTCTTACATAGCAGTTTTTGTATTTTTTCTCAGAAATGAGACATTTTCCCGCGGTAAAAAGTATCCTATATGATGATATGATTGTCCTGATGACCATACCAAATTTCATCAAAATCCCTCCAGTAGTTTTTCTGTGATGCGGTAACAGACAGACAGACAGACAGACAGACAACAATTTAAAAAACTATAGATTCGCCTCTGTATCGATAATAATGTCTATTTCAGTAAGATTTTCCAAAAAATATTTAATATACAGATTCGAATTAGTTAGAATTTTATTATATGTATAGATATAAAATATTATTCTTATCTTTATATATTATTATATATTATTTATCTAATATATTGTTTATGTTCATGTTTTATACAAAATATTTCCTTTATTATAAATAAGCAGAAGCGGAAAGACGATCTTACTTCGGATCTTATACTATTGGTATACGAATCTACGTAATATATTTTTCTAGTTTATCCTATTATAATTATTTAAATAATCATTGGGTTGTATACCTATCCTACTAATTGTTGTTTTATTTGAATTTAATAACTATAATAATGAAGAATTATTTTAATTTTAAAAAATCTGAATATTTTGTTTTGATTGCCATATTTTTTTATTAGCGACCCACCCTCGCTGAGTCGCTACGCGCGGGTTCGTTACATAGGTAGGTTATGTACGTTTTGACGTTTAGTATGGAATAGGTAGACACTATACTGTATATAGGTATGATGAGTTTTAAATCCCTTACTTGAGAAATGATTAATTCTCCATACAAATTTCCACTCCCCTTTTCATCCCCTTAAGTGATGACTTCCGGGATAAAGACCATCTATATCCTATGTCTTTCCCAGAGTCTCAAAGTATCTCCATACTAAATTTCATCTAAATCGGTTCAGCGGATGAAGCGTGAAAAAGTAAAAGACAGACAGACAAACAGACAGAGCTAATTTCGCATTTATAATATTAGTATGGATTATATTATATCTATTTCCTTTAATAAATAATCCTTTCATGATTACTTTCTATATAAAATAGTGTCGATGTTTCACATCTGCCAGTTTTTGTACTTGGGCTTGCATCTAACATGTTCCTCATGGAAAAAAAACATTTACTAAATACAATTATTTAGGGTAAAACTAACGAAAGTTTAAGTATGTAGATAATATATAAGTTGTATATACTTGCTAAAAAACTTGAATCTATGTGAGTACAGTTGCGGGTACCAGATTGTTATCTGTGAACATCGCAATGAATTTATCGGCAGACAAAATTGTGTAATAATACAGTATTTAACAGTATTAACCATTAAATAACTGCATTTCGTAATTTTTTGAATAGTCACGTATATTATATAAATATATTAAGAATAGACATAAATAATATTTTTTACTTACGACATTGATCATAAGGGACACATTTGTTGTGTTTATTTCTCCAATAGTTGTCTTTGCAACGACATTTCGGATCACATATCACAACAGTCCCTATTCTCCCAATAATTGGGCAACGCCTCCCATCAGGTCTCGCATTGTCACATGATTCGGAACAAGTTGGACAAGAATCGAACTCTTCGTTTTCCCCACATGGTATCGACGCTAGTTAAAAAAAGGCGAATCTTTATTTTTGTATATCTATTTAGTTTTAGCTCTCAATATAAACAATGAACATGCATGCGTGCGTTTTTGTTAATTGTTGGTCAATTTATTTTTATAGTCAAGGTAAGAGGTTATTATATTATATAAAATTAATTAAAATATAATTACATAGTTATTAAAATCAAATTAGTATTATTAGATAAATAACTGGGGAATAACTTATGGTAGTTAAGTACGTACTCTAAAAAGTATAGTGTTGCATGTTATATCATAGAACCAAGTTTTTTAAATGACTTTTTAGACAGTATTTTCAGAATCTGTCCGTCCATATGTTTACTTACGGCAATCTCTAGAACGTATGCATGTTCCATTATATGCTCGATGATACATTATATCACATTTACATGATGTGGCACAAGGATCAGGGCAGGCCGTAGCTTGACCATCCGCTTCGGGGCAACAATCTGAGCTGCAGTCTATCCCATCCTTCGGTGATGCATTCGGACCGCATATATTACCTGCTGTATAAAAGAATTTGCTTTTGAAAATAACGAACTTTGATAATGTATAAATAGTATAAAATAAATTTAGGTATCAGGTATATACATATCATTATACTCACTTTTAATTTTTTACAATTAACAAACAAATTCAATAGTTGTGGTTTTTCTTTACTTCTATTAAGTATTTTTATTTTATTTAATTTTAAAGATTAATATTTAAAAAAATAAAACATTCAAAAACATTACATACCTGCAGAGCTTAGAAGGAAAACACTTGATAATATAAAAATAAAACACGTCATCCTCGCGTCTCTTTGTGCCGGTAATAACTATTTTAAAACGAATTAATGAATATATAAACATATTTCGTTATTGACACAGATGAAACTTTATTATGATAAATAGATCTTATTTGTTTTTACGTACTTATATTGTCATATATTACAATTAACCTTACAAATGACACTTTAAAAAACAACTAACTAAATTAAAACATTTAATTAGCCATTTACATATGTAAATTGTACATGTACTTTATTTCTATCTGTAATCATTATCAGCCTATACTAATAAAAATATGTATTAGAAATAAAATTTATAGTTCTGTCGGGTCAAGCACACACAGACGGACAGAAAATTTCGGATGGACATTGGCATCATGTAAATGAGCTAAATAAAATACCTATAGTTAATAATATTATTTTCAAATATAATAGTTATTTTATTACTGGTATAAAATAAAAAAAATCATTCAATCAAATCATTTAAAGTAAAAAAAAAATAATCATTATAACTGATTTTAACACGTAAAAGTAAGATATTATGTATTTATTATTTTCTCTTTTTACCTACAATCTACATAATAATATATAGGTACTCGTACTTAAAGGACGAAGGAGGATTATTATATATAGTTATCTTTTCCTGCTATACAACCTTATTTTTGTTTAAGGTCACTATGTTGTTTAGTTTAGTTTTTATTGTTTTTAAAGTGATATTTAGAGGAGAGATTACGTCTCGAGCGGGGTCGAGACATGTTATTTTTTTCTATAGATAACGATTGAGCTAGACTTTCAAGATCAGACGAGGGCGCGTGAATCTTAGGACGGCCGTGGGAGAGGAAATAGCGATGGTGACGGCCCCACAAGATTATACCGTAACAGAGGAGGATTTAGTTATCTTTTTCTGATATAAAATCTTGATGTTGTTTAAAGACATTGTGTAAACTAAATAAGTTTAGTTTTATTTCTTTTAATGTGATTTTTTATTTAGAGCAGAGATTACGACTCGAGCGGGGTCGAGACGCCAGCATGACATTCATTAGAAATACGTGGTTTAGTATAGTTGGTTGATCATGGTGGAACATTGGATATTACTCGGGTAAATATTTAGGAACCTTTGACTTCAGGAAAATCTTTCTTTCCTACGGAAAACCTCTGTAACTGGTTTTATCGAATCCTCCTTAGAAACCCTCCGCTGGATAAACCTTAAGATATACATCAAAATAATGTACCAAAAATTCTTGGTCTTGAAAAGACCTACAGAAAAATCTGCTTTAGTATATGTCTATCTCTTAAGGTACACTCGCAATTACTATTCTTATCTAAATTTATAATAAAACTAACTTAGTCAACTCGATGTGCGCGTTTCACGCAAAAAGTACTGAACTAATTTTGTAACCAAACGAGAAAAGTCACGAAAAATATGATATTTTATGCTTTTCAACCACTTTTTACGTAGAGTATTATAATTTGTAAAAGTCGTAATTTACCTTACAAAAAAGTTAAGACTGACTAAGAAAAAAATTATATTAAATCATTTTTGTAGATCGTTTAACTCCCTATAAGAATATGTTTTTAATTTAACTAGACTATAATTCATTTGAGCGCATTTAAATAAAAAAAAAAAATCCCGTGTCATTTATATGGAAAATAAAAAAAAATCTTCACCAGAATTTTACGATATTTTCATGATAACTAAAAGAAAAAAAATTTTTGGCCCATCCTTACAAATACATATAAAAAATCATCTCAACAACATATAATAGATAACTAATCAGATATTTTCGACGTCGGTGTCAGCCGATGCAAAGCAAATCTAATATAATATTCATATCTTAAAACATTGTCGGCTGGTACCGGCTTCGAAAATATCAGCTGATTAGGTATCTATTTTAAATGAAAACCCCCGTTTAGTTATTCTTTAGGTACATTTCAGTGCCTAGAAGTCGATTTTTTTTTAAGTTTTATTTTTTCATTTTTAATGTAGACGTAATAAATAGGTAATTTGTAAGATTAAAAGTTTTTTAATAACATATTCGATTAAGCAATTTATTTGAAAAAAAAATGTTTTTTTTTTAAACCGCTCAAACGATTTCGATAAAATAAAATTTCGATAAAAGTGGATACAATGAGTTTTGCGTGTTGAGACTCGAAGGAGTTACAAGCAACCTATGTGACAATGGTAGTGATAACGAACGTAACCGAATCAGAAAGAGGGTAGATAGATTTTTAAATCGATATTTTTAGTTTTTAATACGTATGCATAGTTGTAATTTCCTTTAATTTGTTTTCTGTTTCTGTACCTAAATAAATAAAATAAAAAATAAAATATATATCTGCCAATAAAATCCCATGACCCATACTTAGCGCTTGTAATACTGTCGAAATACCGGAAACTCACTAAATAAAGTAAGTGAAAAATATGATAAATATTCGTCATCCTCGTATCGACTTGTAACTTTGCAATGATGATAATACAATAATTAATCCCTCCACGACCGCGGACACGCCGGCTTTACAGTTAACAATAGATTTCTCAGAATTTTAATTAATTTCTTAGAAATTTATCTGGAGGTGTAAAACCCATAGGAAAATCTAAAACGCATCGAACTCCTATAGTTGTAATAACTCTTCGCTTTTTAAATCGGCAGACTTTAATGTAATTTATTCGTATACCCGTCCCGAGAGATATTCGCAACAGTACACAGAAGTTATGGGCCTATAGTTTACCCTTTGAAAGCGTATCAAGTCGAAGTAGATTTACTAGATTTAACTTTATGTGAAGGCGTACCGATGGGAAACTAACAGGCTCTTCTTATCGAGCTGATCTCTCGTATCGAGAATATACGGCATGCTAAAAGGATATAAAATCAAAGTAGAAAAAATGTTAGCCACGTAATGTCAAAAATATTTGTGAGTACTTTTTTTCTATATGTTTTTTTTTAATTATGCGTATATAAAAATTGTGGGTAAAAAGAGAGAATAATACACACATGATATCTTATTTTTATATTTTAAAATCAGTTTTAATTATATATTTGTTATATTAATTGACACTTATTTGTTTTTTTTTTACTAGTTATAAAATACCTGGTTTAGCTTATTTACATGATGTCAATGTCAATCCGAAAATTTTTATCCGTCTGTGTGTACTCGCCCCAACAGAAGGATACATTTTATTTCTGATAAGTAATTTTATTAGTATACGTTGATAATGATTATAGGTAGAGTATACATGTACGTAAATGGCCAATTATATATTTTAATTGTGTTGTTTTTAGAAAGTTTAATTGTAATTAGTAATGTTAATTGTAATATATTACGAAAAAAGTACTTAAAAAAATAGACTGTACTTAGTAGTACTTCATAACAAAGTTTCACCTGTCAATAAAGAAATATATCAACATATTCACTAATTCTTTTTAAAGTAGCTATTACCGGCACAAAGAAACGCGAGGATGACGTGTTTAATTTTTTTATTATTAAGTGTGTTTTCCTTCTAAGCTCTGCAGGTATGTAATATTTTTAAATGTTTTTTTTTTATATAAAGTACTTAATAAACGTAAAGAAAAACCACAACTATTGATTTTTTTTGTTAATTGTAAAAAAATTAAACTGATTATTATATATTATATACATTTTCGCAGTCCGAATGCATCACCGAAGGATGGGATAGACTGCAGCTCAGATTGTTGCCCCGAAGCGGATGGTCAAGCTACAGCCTGCCCTGATCCTTGTGCCACATCACACTAAAATAGATAAAAACTTAAAAAAAACCGACTTCCAGGCAATGAAATGTAAAAAATAACTAAACGGGTTTCATTTAGAATAGATACCTAATCAGATATTTTTGAAGTCAGTGCCAGCCGACAATATTTTAAGATATGAATATCTAATAGGTAAATATGATTAGGTATGAACTCTAATTATAGTTAAAATATTATACCTCAATTTGTGATGTATTCGACGTATTGAAATATAACTATTGAATTTGCTTTGCATCGGCATGCACCGACTTCAAAAATGTTTGATTAGGTATCTATATTTTAGTGCCCGGAAGTCCTTTTCTCGAAGAGGTTTTTATTTATTTTTTTTAAAGTTTTGCATCAAACTCATAAAGCTAAAAGTCAATACTATTCCTTTCATTACACAATAAATCTCATAAAATGTAATACATTTTCAAAATCTGTTCCAGTTCGCAAAGGTTTTATTCGGAGTGTAATAAACTAAACTACAAGAGAAAATACCAATAAAGCGAACGAGGTGTGAATATAGGATGAAAATTTGTATGACTTTCCGGAGGCAGGAAACTTTACGAACGCCATATATTTTTATTAAATTATTACGATACGTGAATACTCTGATATCTATTTAAATTCATATGGCATGTTTGTTTTTTGTTTACTTCAGTGCACTTTGTTTTTCATAATTTTATATATAGTGCCTCCAGGTATATTTTTAAAAAAATAATTAAATTTCTAAGAAATCTATTGTTAACTGTAACGCCGGCGTGTCCACGGTCGTTGAGGGACTAAGAAATAGTAGTATAATATGATTTAGCTATTGTGTAATGTGATATTTGAGGGCGATTAGTCCACGAGGACCAAATACTGATTAAATGACTTGATTTGTTCCAACCTATGACTTCTAAGAACTAATTAATCCCACTTAGATGAGCAAATTTTCTCACGATGTTTTTCTTCATTAAGCAAGTGGTAATTATGTTGAAAATAATTCGCACCTGAAATTCTCAGAAGTGTGAGACCTGAGCTCGCTTCGAACTGTCTCCAATGCGAGCGTGCTGGTTTAATATTATTTCTCTTTTGCTTAAGAAGTTAATTACTTTAAATATATATATTTTTAAGTTATATAGGTACTTGCCTAATTATGAGAGTAAAATTTTTACACGACAGCGAAAATGCGACATGATAAAGTTTTTACAAACAGAAAGTTTTGACATACGGGATGAAATCTTTAGCTATTTTTGTTCTTTTACGCCAAAGAAGTATAACTTCTTACGCGCGTACTTTTTTAGTTTTTTTTTCAAATAAAATGTTTTTTTCCACATATAGGTAATATATAATTTTTATAATTTAAATTATAGATATATGTAAATTATTTAAATAACAATTCCCTAATGAAATAAAAATAAAATAATAGTATGAGTATGCATACAATAAAGCTGATAAATAACCTGTTATTTTGTATTAATAATGTCTTAATTAATTCTTTGCTCACTTTAATTATTACACATTTTGACTGATACATATTATTGTGCTACTTTTTGCTCGTGCTTATAAAAAAACCCGTAATAGGCGCGCCGATAAAGAATTAGTCAAGTTATAAAATTAAATTGTAGATATATGTAAAATACGTGGTCGATATTTTAAACTATCTATACACATCTCTAAAATAAATATTTTATTTACCTATATAGATAGTGATATGTAATAAGTTAATCTTCCTGAGATTAGTTGTACCCGCTAATATGAAGGAGACATGCAACTATTTTTTTAATAAACTTTTGGGTTTTGTTAAATATGACATAACTTTGGGGGTAGGCATGGGAGAAATTAAAACCATTTTCAATAGAATATAATATTAATTACACCAGTTTAATAATGTAAAAACCTAATAATATTACATAACATATATAATTAACTTAACTTTTTCTTCTTTTTCAAATAGGGGAAACAAAACCACATATTAAAACTCTTTTAGTGTTCCACCGCATCACCCAACGGAGTAAAAAAAAAAACTGAATCTAAATTTAACTCATCTGCCAGACCGTGTGGTATATTATTTTATACGATGCGATTTTCAAATACCACACAGTTTGGATGATTTGAAATATAAACACAACATCAGGATAACAAATAAAAATAAACATTGACCGAATGAGTTTGAATAAAAAGAAACAATGTTAAATGAACTTACATAAAAATACAAAATGTCATTTTATATAATACAGTAGAATTTGACAATAAAAAAATATTTCAAGCAAATTTTATAGGAAAGGTAGTTAAAATAGATTATTGCAATATGTAGTCAAATATGATAATAATAATAATATATTTATTCATAAATAAGGAAATTGAACATAGAACATAGTAATTTTTACAGTAAATGCTTGTACAAATCAATTTCATACGGTTGGGTGAAGTACTGTACTCCTTGCTAGGTTATAAAAATAATCTGTATTAAGGAGTAAAATATTTTAAATATACCTATAACAATAATATTTACGAGTACTGTTGTGTTACTACACTCCACTTTTGTATAACTTTTTTAATGTGCACATTTATAATCTATCGAGTTGCATAGAATGGAACTAATCCTTCGTCTCTAAGATTATAGCACAAAATATGCTATGAGCGACAATTTTAAAGAATGGCTGATATCCACAAATCGAAAAAAAATATTATAATTTAAATAAAATGTGAAAAAATATTTAACATTTATACTTTTCTGATATGAACACTCCACTTTGATCGTCAGATGTTAACACTTTTGTCAATAGAACCATCTTCCAAGTATATATTATATGCGATAGATAAAATGGCGATTTTAATATGTAAAAATGTTATATATATATATATATATATATATATATATATATATATATATATTCTATATAACTCGTATAAGCGTTGCTCTGAAGAGAGTCACCACTTTGGAGTGTGAGAGAAATTAAAACGAACTATACTAGAATATTATTTATACCATAATGTGAAAACCTAATAATATTACATGACATATATAATTAACTTAAGTTTTTCTTCTATTTCAATTGGGCAAAACCAAACTACGTATAAAAATTAAAAACTCTTTTAGTTATTCGCCACAGCTATTTTAAAATCAGAGACAGGACAGGCACTTATATTTTTGTATAAGTTATAAATAATTCTATTTGGTTAAATAAAATAAAATCCATTCAACTAATTTTTAATATCAGACAGAACACGATAAATGTGGACGTAGACAAAATTATACCAGTGAATTGTGGGTCCATTTGCATGAGAAGTGTTGGAGTATGAACGTCTAGTTCGCGAGTGTAATGGCTGAACTATTTAAATATCTCACTGCGTATCTTTATTCAATTCCACAAAGTCTGTCGGTGGCCCCAAGAGTCATAACTTTGTGCTATCGCACAGATGCGCCAATATGCCGCTGCTTCGCTATTGTAATAATATTCCCCGTCTTTTATTACCTGTAAATTATACTATTTTGTTTTGAAATACTTCTCAATATTATTATGATCACGTATATACTACGTTATTTTCTTTGATCATTATTTTTGTTTCATGGATTGATCATTTATATGTTCACTAGCGAATTACCCTCCTCCCCCTCCTGTACCTAGGAGCCCAATACTAACTAGCCTATGTGCTACTCCAGGTCCAGTCAGTCAGCTCCAGTCATTGTGTGTACTCATCCAAATCTGTCCAGTGGTTTAAGCGAGAAGGAGTAAACAAACATACACATACATAAAAAATTTCGTCTTTATAATATTAGTCAGATTAAGTTATTCTCCAGAAGCTATAATAATATATTAATCATACTAATACTATACAGAGGTAAAGTTTATAAATTTGTGAGTTTGTTTGTAGGAAGTAATCTCTGAAACTACTGAACCGATTCAAATGAAATTTGGTAAGATGATAGTTTGAGACCCTGGAAAGGACATAGGATATACCCAGATAGTTTTTGTCCCGGAAATTATCCCTTAAGGGGGCGAAACTGGGGATGAAAGTTTGTATGGGGAGTCTACCTAGGGACGAACCCGAGTAAAGCATGGGTGAGTCGTTAGTGAATAATAAAATGATAGTGTTTTCGAATGAATGACACGTGTTTAAAAATAAATTATTTTGTGTATAAAATTATTTCTTTTTCATAATTTGTTACTGATAATGTAATCGTGAATTTTTAGGAGCCCTAAAAATACTTTTACGGTTTAAAATGGAAATGTAGGGTGCATAATAATATAATATGGACTCTGAATAACATTGTGGTTAGGCAGGTTTTTTTTTTTTTTAACGTTGGGAAATGCATTTACGCACGACGTGTGGGACTCACCGGCGTAATACAGCCAGTACTACCCACTAAAACCCAACAAAACCTTCCCCCGTCTGAATGGGGCGTCGCAGGATCGCTTACGCATTCAACTACGACGCCCCGACGGCAGGTCTGCCGAAGCAGACCACCACAACCATGGGGTTGCTCCACAGTCCACTCTGCTATCAGAGAAGTACCAGGAGCAACCCGCATGGTACACCGCCCCCCGAAGAGGGCCACCTCCCACCGCCCACAGAAGTGGGCAACCTCCCTGTGCGTTTCTTAGCTTCGCGCCCGGTTGGATTGCCGGGCACTACTGAGCCCACCCTGACGTATGAATAGTTCATATTTTACGGTTTTCAATAACTATTCAGTCCTTTTTAACGTCCCACTGCTGGGCACGGGCCTCCCTTCAATACGACGGGGATCAGGCCATAGTCCACCACGCTGGTCAAGTGCCGGTTGGCGGACTTCACATGTCTTTTGAAAACTTGCTAGATATTCTCAGACATGCAGGATTCCTCACGATGTTTTCCTTTCTCCTTTGATATTTTCCAAGTGGTAATCATGTTAAAAATGATTCGCACATGTAAATATCAGAGGTGCGACACCCGGGATTTGAACCTGCTTCACTCAGTTCCCAAGCGTGCTGTTACTACTGGGCTACCACTGCCTAATTAAACTGCATTCAAGTTATTTTTTTTTAAATATTCATATTTTTATTTTTATTAAGGTAAATATTTTTTGTAAGGAGTGGTAAATTCCATATGGTATTATTATTTTGCCATAATTTTACAATATTTATTTTAAGAATTTGATATGTTAAAAAACATGTTTGTAGTAAACTTATTGTACGCACCTAAGAAGTTATATATATTCTTTGGTGTAACAGAACAAAAATAGCTAAAGATTTCATCCCGTATGTCACACCTCACTGTTTTTAAAAGGAATGCAGCTAACTGTATCATGTCGCTTTCAGCTAACTTCATCATGTCGCTTTTTGGCTGTCGGTGTGCGCTTTGTAAAAATTTGACTCGCATATTTTTTTCCAAACGTGCCAAAAGGAGTATAACTTCAAAAATATTTTATTAAATTATGCTAAGTTGGAGTAACTATTTCATGTTACACTTTTTATTTATTTGCACTGGTAATACATATATTTTTCACTAAACAATTTGAAAATTAAGTTGATTTGATTATATTGTTGCGAAGTGGAGAGAGTGTAGCCGTCTTTACACCAAAAAAATATACTATAAAGCATACTACACAACCTATTACAGTTGTAAATGTGTGAAAATTAAAGACAAGCTCTCATGTAAACGTAGCAATATATTAATTAGTTGTCAAGAACAAATATTATTAATTAGCATAAATAACATGAAATAAATAAATAAAATATATAAAAATAAATGATAATAATAATGAATAATAATATAATATACCAAATCTGTTAACATGAGATTGATTCATAGAAAGTTATATGGAAAAACACATACAAAATCTTTAAAATAAGTCACGTATTATATTAATAGTAATCATAGATAATATTTTTTACTGACATTGATCATATGGGACACATTTGTTGTCATTATTTCTCCAATAGTTGTCTTTGCAACGACATTTTGGATTACACACAACAGTTCCTGTACTATAAAATGGGCAAATCCTCCCATCAGGTCTCGCATTAGCACAGGATTCGAAACAAGTTGGACAAGATACGAACTCTTCGTTTTCCCCACATGGTATCGGCGCTAGTTTAAAAAAAAATTAGAATCATTATTATTGTAAATCTATTTAGTTTTAGCTCTCAATATAAACAATGAACATGCATACATTAACACCAAAATATTAATTAAAAGTGTATAATTTGCGTATAAAAAAGTTCCACGCTGACATTAACTTTCGACGTATTATATATGCGTTCCGGATCACGCAAAAATTTCATTTTAATTTTTAAATTTAGTAAGCATCTATACTTGATAGGCATCTCTCTCTAACTTACCTTAATTATAATATAATTTTAAAGTTATTAAAATCAATTTAGTGTTATTGGATAAATAACTGGGAAAAAATTGTGGTAGTTAAGTACGTACTCTAGAAAGTATAGTGTAGTATGGTATATCATAGAACCAAGTTAATTTAAATGACTTTTTAGACAGTATTTTCAGAATCTGTCCGTCCATATGTTTACTTACGGCAATCTCTAGAAGGTATGCATATTCCATCAGGTGCTCGACGGTACGTTATATCACATTTACATGATGTGGCACAAGGATCAGGGCAGGCCGTAGCTTGACCATCCGCTTCGGGGCAACAATCTGAGCTGCAGTCTATCCTATCCTTCGGTGATGCATTCGGACCGCATATATTACCTGCTGTATAAAAGAATTTGCTTTTGAAAATAACGGACTGCGGAAATGTATATAATATATAATAATCAGTTATATATATATTTATATATATATATATATATATATATATATTTATATATATATATAATAGACTATTATAGTCACTTTTAATTTTTTACTATTAACGAACAAATTTAAGAGCTGTAGTTTTTCTTTACGTCTATTTATTATTTTTGTTTCCTTTAATTTTAAAAACATTACATACCTGCACAACTTAGAAGGTAAACACTTGATAATAAAAAAAATAAACGCGTCATCCTCGCATCTCTTTGTGCCGGTAATTTGTTTTTAAGTACTTATTTTGTAATATGTTACAATTAACATTACAAATTACAATGAAACTTTCTAAAAACAACACACTAAATTAAAATATAAAATTAGCTATTTACATATTATGTACACGTTTTTTATATTCTATCTCAAATCAATATCAATGTGTGCTAATAAAAAAAATACGTATCAAAAATAAAATGTATCCTTTTGTCGGGTCGAGCACACACAGATGGACAAAAATTTCGGATAGAGATCGACATCATGTAAATAAACTAAATCAAATATAGTTAATACATTTTATTTTCAAATATACCAGCTATTTTATAACTAGTTTAAAATAAAAATGAAATAAATAAGTGTCAATTAAATTAAAAAATAATTATTAAAACTTTTTTTAACACGAGTTATGTCATAAAGTATTTTTCACCCTCCTATCCTCACCCCCCATTTTTCAAATAACTAGGGGCGAACCCGAGAAGAGCGAGGGTGAGTCGGTAGTAAAAAATAAAAATAGTAGCGTGAGTATGTATAAAGCAAAGTGTATGCAAGTTTGAGCTGATAGAAAACCTGTTATTTTTTATCAATAGTGTCTTAATTTATTCTTTGCTCATTGTAATTATTACACATTTTGTATTAAACATGACTGATACGTATTATTATGATAATTTTTGCTTTTGTTTTCATGCCAGTTAAGTTAGCTACAATCGGAAGGTCGAAAAAAAACCAAAAACTAATTTAAACTCATTTATTTTAAAATTACAAATTAAACTTATTATTTAAATTTAATGTACAACCAACTCGATGTAAGTTTATGGAATGTCCCTAAACAATATGTAAGAATTAAAGTATCCGAAAACTGCAACTCTGCATTCCCGTCCCGATGTCGACATTCTGTTTATTATTTCAATCGTGGGAATTTAATGTATGAGCGATTCACTCGGAACTTGCCTATAATAGGCGAAAAAAAAAACAACTAGATATAAGTCATTTAGTATAATTTAGTATTTAAATTTAAGTATGTATACCTAGCAATTAGTAAAAAATTAAGTTAGTAATTAGCAACTAAAACGAATATTTAGTTTGATAAAATAAAGCTTTTTTTTATTTAATAGATGCGCCGATAAAGAAATAGTCCTCCAATAAGCCATCTTTTATATCAGTTACAGCGTGAAAATGTAACAACACGCTTGTGTGGAACACTCACTTATTCACTTACACGTTCATATAATATTAGTATGAACATAATGTACATAACATTACGATATTTTAATCATTGTGCATTACCAGTCATATATTTTGTAATATCGTAGTGTTACCACCTCGGTGGTTTCATCACTAGCATGTACGGCTATAGATCCGAAAGCCCTGGGTTCGAGTCCCGAGTCGGTACTAACCGGAATGGACTGATCTGAGTATTATTATTTACTCCGGAGTTGGGAATTTGGCGGGGCTTGAACCCCTTGCATTGAATAGCACGTAAAGTTCTCGGACTTACGCCTGATCTCTTACCGGCTGTGTTGAATTTTCATCCTATCGCAGTTTGAGAGTGAAATGAGTAGAGAGTATCGCCTGCGCACATGGCTTGTCTCAGTGAGATTCACCGTCGTCGCCGAAATGGGTCAGGAGGGCAATATTGTTATGTTAGTATTGTCTGATTTCATAATAAAAATTGATAGCCTATAATTATTTTCTATTGCAATATTGCTAATAAGATAACTAAAGTACGTATTATTAACAATAAACATAATTATATTACTGTTATCCAAGATATAAAGCCCATGAATCAACTAAATGAACATTCATTGTTGGGCTTGTTCAATCAGTGCCAGCTACTAAGTGATTGATTTTTAAACTCGGTGCCCTAAGGGCACTGGTACGATTTGTTCGCAGAGGCCATTGTAAGTAAAATGATAAAGGAAGCATTTGGTCACGAAGTAAAAGGTGTAACGCATTAATTTGCAGATGTAGTATATTTTTAACCAACTTAAACAAAGGAAGTATTTGAATTTGTGTGTTTGTTTTTTGTTTATGTAACGCGAAATCTTTCTCTATTGCGAATTGATTTGTTTGGTTTTTTTTTAAACATAAATGTAAAGAAAAAAGATCAAAACGAAGCTAGGCTCTCAGCAAGGATCAAATATATAATATGTCTCCGACTGCATCATACTATATTCCTTTGTTAACTTGTTCCCTTCTTTTTAGTTCGGTTTTTACGCAGTCGAGATTTTTTATTATTTTAAACCGTACAAAAATGAAAGCTGGGTTATATCAGTAAAGGATTTAGATTTAACTTTTATCCTTTAAAAGTATTATCATACTTTTAATATTGAATGCAAAAATCTGGTACCATATGAAATCTTCTTTATAATTTTTCAATAGCAAGATCATTCCTTAATTCTTACCATATATCAAGGAAAATTAAATAATTTATCTGAAATACGCACAAAATGATCTTCCCGTTAGAAAAATATTTTTTTACTGAGACAGGATTCCGATTTGCTCAAATATATAAAACATACTTTAATTTTTTTTTTCTATTTTAGTCTAAGCGGATGAAAAATGATTTATTTATGGTTTTGTAAATCTATATAATGAAAATACACCTTAAACACTTATAAATATAAGCAACAAAACAGGTACTGAAATCAGCATCCCATTCATCAACTATTCGTATTATTATTTATAGCTCCCATACGTATCGATTCGCAATTGAAGATGAACAAAATTCAATGCCTGTATTTATGTTCCATAAAATAATTTTGTACGCTTTCAGTTATATTGCCATTACCAAATCGTGGGGCGGGATTTTTTTACGATTATTTCCGCAAGCACTTCTCAAACTTTTATCGTTTCTTAAATCGACAGACTGTAATAAGATTTATTCGTTTGCTCATCCCTAGAGAAATCGGAAATGTGTACAAGACTTATGAACCTATAGTTTACTTTCTGTAAACGTAAAATCGATTTTACTTACTCGATTTAATTTTATACCGATGGAAAACTAACAAGGACTTATTGGTATCGATATCCGAGCTGTAAAAATTCAAAGTGAATGAATTTCATTAAGAATAAAAGTCAGCGCTACAATTCTGTAAGCTATCAGCGTTATTGCCAGATTTTTGTATTTATTAACTTTATTTATTTATGGGTTTACACAATTGAATCGGAATGTAAATTGAGAAAATATTGAAAAATAAAAGAAAAATATTTTAGCGATATTTGTTGTATAATGTCAACATATCCATGAAGATTTATGTGGAAGTATTGTATTATAAAAGCCTTCTTTTTAGAGTTTCTTTCTTCTGATGAAAAATCAAAGCCTTTAAAATATTACTCACAAAGAGTTTGTTTGTTTGTTACAGTCTATCGGAATCAGAATCAAATTTGCTTAGACTTTTAAAAAATTATAATTTAATTAAAAAAAAAATAATTACTGCGTTATTAATTGTATTCTTTATGAGCCACATATAAAATACACAAAAAGTTTTAATATCTTTATAATAAGTAAATACTTATATTCCGTCCATGGTACAAGCGGTTAGATATAGGAAAAAAACTTAGAAATATTACTTTATCATAGAAAAACCATCAACTTGTTATACAATTTTTATGTAAAGCTCAAGTTGAGCCCTAATAGATTATAGTGTCACTGGCCGACCGTTGTCAACGGGCAGCTGGGGGCCTGTCACCGTGCCATGCGGAAACAATTTGATACTATACCCGTATCGTAACACAATATATAAGATTTTAACAAGAACCTTCCATTCTGAAACTGATGCGTTTTGTTTTGATAGATGCTCTATTGTTGTTTCATTCAACAACGTTAGTATGATTAAAAGTTTGTGATTTACTTTTGCTTCGCTCGGGTTTATTATTAGGTGCCTAACAGTAGCCTATGTGTTACTCCAGGTTATGGTCTATCACTCGTCAGTCCGAGTATAAATTCGATTTAAAAATGGGGATGCCAGTCCTCATTTTCATATTCATAAAAATGATAGATATAAATAAATCTTTAATTCCCGATTTCACCAACAACTCATAAGCTACCTACGTATGGGATCACTAGCTTAAAAGTCCAATAAACTAGCCCCTAAATTAAATTTCGTTTTACGATCGTCTTTAACCCCATATTTCGAGCACCTAAATTTAGGGGCCTGTTAATATTTAGTTGACCCCTAACTGGCGGTGAAACAGAATATGTTTCTAACAGCCCCCTAACCATGCTTAGGGCATCCCTTAAACTTAGGTGATGTTGGTGAAATCGGGCATAAATCACACTTATTTTAATGCATTCATTTTTTTGCTAGCAGCTCACCCTCTCGCTCGCTTCGCTTCGTCCCTAGGTATCTTTTAACGGTTAGTATGAAATGCATAGGCTATATATTATATTATAAATATACATAGCTAAGATGAGTTGTCGTGGTTTATATTATAACGTGTTTTCCCTTGGGAATAAGATAATCTCTCGCGGTGAAAAGTAGCCTATATCACTCTCCAGCCCTCCAACTATATCCACACAAAAAACATGCCAATCAATCACTTTGTTTCAACGTGAAAAAAGGACAAACAAACAAACACACTTTCACGTTTATAATATTAGTATGAATATGAATATTAAGCGTCAAAATAATTATAAAAATTACATGAAAAATTTATTATCTCCATTTTCACTCTTAACCCTGCCTGTGTTTATTTGGCTTTTAGTCACTACAATCATTAGAGACCAACGTTTAATTGATATCATTTTCATTATAGCAAGTTGGTCGTGAGCAACCGTTGTCGTTGTCAACAGGCGCGCGGGCGCGTAAGGGTGTCAGTTTCAAAACATACACTTTGCGTCAAAGTATCATAGGTTAAGTCGCATTGATACGCTCAAAGTCTGCTTTGACAAGTAGCTTCGATCAAACTTTACTTAGATACCTGTTGACACGCTCTCTACTACTTTGTCAAAGTAAACTTTGATCGCGTCAGTGCGGCTTTAATTACTAAATATTCAATAAATAATTTAATATTTGTATAAGGACAACGATAATCTCTCGACATTTCATTATCTTCAATTTTCAGATACAACAATCTGCGTCATTTTATAAGTCTCATCACAAACGTAACAATAAAAATATAATAAATAATACTACAAGGTGTTGTACAGAATGTTTCAAAAAGTTTTTTGTTTGAAAAAGCTAATTGAATGTTATCTGAATTGTTGTTATATCTGCTTTCTCTTAAAAATGAGAAAAACTTTTAAAGCACCCCGCCATTTCCGTTATTACAAAACTTTCCTTTGACAGGCTCTAGAAAACAGGACAATTACTGAATGACATTTTGTATTTCTTAGGTACTTATACGTTCTCGTGCTACGATTGGAAATAATTATTTTGTTGATTACCAGAAAAGCTCGGCATATTCGTGAACAATAAAAGTTGGTAAAACTATGAAACTGTTGTAAGATATTATGATATTATTTGCTACGGTAGAAGGGTACAACTTCTACAGGTACCTCTTCGACTTGGAGAAGTTTTGTATGTGTAATATTTTTTTTATGAGAAGAATAAGAATATATTAGATCTGCTAAAAGAAAATTTGTCTATTGTTAATAGAAATCCATAAGATTTCACTGTTTGCTATCTTTTGCCTGCGGTTCCAATCGTATCGACTAAAATAAAATAAAAATTATATATTATTACTAGCGGACCCGACAGACGTTGTCCTGTCTACACGTCTTTAATTTGAAAATTTCAAACTTTTTTTAATAATTTTTTTGATGAAAATTATTATTCAAATTGTGAATCTAAACCATTCCCAGATCCCCTTGAACACACACAAAAAATTTCATCAAAATCGGTCCAGTCGTTTGAGAGAAGTTCAGTGACATACACACTCACAGAAGAATTATATATATAAAGATGTAGGCTATAAGCTACCTCCATTCTGATTTTCACTCAAATCTGTTCTTTGTTTGCACCTACGAGTAATATATAAAAATTAATCTGGTAAGTATTTTACGACTTACGTCATATAAACTTTATTTGAACGCGTTAATCTCTAGATCTACTCCATAGATTTTAAAAAAATCTGTTTTTTTTTTTATTTATAGAGGAAGAATATATATTCTATACTAACTAAAAATGAATATATATATATATATATATATATATATATATATACATATTATTATTATTATAATAATGAAACATAATATATACCTTACGTTAAACTATGACTTACGAGAGCGGAGTATTTCTACAAAATTGTTCAATGCGGGCGAAGCACCGAGAAATGCTATATGTACATAAAAACATATATACAAATAATAATTAAAAGTTGTACTGAACTGACTCTTAAATTCTATGTAAGCTAATTTAAATAGCTTCTATATTTCAATCTAAACCCAAAATTTGTGCTAATTAAAATGAATTTTTAATTTTTACAGCTCCATATAAACTTTGCATTTTTGCTAACACAAAGT